TTATGTTTTATCTAAGTGGTTGTGTTACATCATACAATTAGAAGTAGTCTCCTTACTGTAGAATGTGGCTTCTAAGTGCCCTTTGTCTTATTTAATATATTGGCTTGAAGACTTCTTGGTCTGGTATCAGGATTTCAATCCATGCTTTCTTCCTTTTTTTATTTCCTGGCAAATCTTTATCACTTTATTTGTATCAGTGCTTTTTAAGTATCCTCTTGTATACAGCATAGAGTTGAATTTTTTAAAGAGGCTATTTGAAAATCCTTTTATTTGAATTGGCAAGTTAAGTCCATTCACATTATTGACGTGACTATTATGTTTGGTCTAAATCCTGTCATATTATCTCTCTAAAATCAAGTTAAAAATAAATATATAAATTTTGTCATATTATTATTACATTATTATATTATGGTGTAATTGCTGTATGTATTTTATTATATTTGCAGTGTTTATTTGGTGTTTCTTACTTTTTCTTTTTAAAATTCTTCTGCCACTTAAGGTTTATATTTTTATTCTAGTGGTTATCTTTGCATTAATACTTTTTATGGTGCACCTGTAAACCCCCTTTTTCCTTACTTAATCTTTTGCTTTTTGTCAGTTTTCGGTGGTATCTTTTGACAGTCAGTGGTCTTCTCCTTTCCCCCTTTTTCTCTCTTCTTTCCATTGTTAGTTATGCCTGTTCTCCTTTGTCACATGTATGTGTATATTATTCTTCAGTGCCATTACCCCAGCCACATTTTAGTCTCAGTTCTACTGTTGAATATTTAAATATCTACCATAAGTTGTTTTGCAGAGTTTACCCAGTCTTTACCTTCTTTCCAAATTTTATTTTGAAAAATGTAAAACTTACAGAAAAGCTAAAAGATTTTCACCAGTAGTTAACACTTTGCCACATTTGCCAGGTATCTTTGGGTTGGATGAAGCTTCACCCTCTCCAGTAGAGTCCTCAGAAGGACACGTGTGTACAGTGTTCTGGCACACTCAAAATATTTTTCTATGGCTTTGAATCTTTTGAAGGAGAACTTGGCTGGACTGATATCTTTCCTTGGTTTGTATTTTCCTTGTATTTCTTTAAAATGCTACTCTATGGCTGCCTTGCTTTGTGTGTTGTTTTTGAATAATCTGATGCCATATAACCCTCTTCCCTTTGTAAATTAGTTCATCTTTTTTGCCTGAAGGCCCTGAGGACTTTTTCATAATTTTCAAAATCTTATTTTATTAGGATATGTTTCAAAGTTGATCATTCTTGGTCAGTTTTCCCTAGTATGAGAAATGTGTAGAGCCAGGTCTTCCTTTATTCCTAGGAAACTTTCCTGGATTATAGTTTGAAATACTAGTTCTGTTTCATTGCTCTGATTTTCTTGTGCAGGGACACCAATTATGCTCAATCTCCTTTGCCTGTCTTTCATTTCATTCACTTCCTCTCTCACTCATTTTATTGCTTTGTCTCAGTTTTCATTCTCTTGGTTGTTTTCCTGATTTTCTTCATGCCTTCATTGACCCTTTAGTACAACCTGTCCTCCCTTGTGTAATTTGGTCTTCATTTCTGATATAATTTTGTCTTTTTCTTCTCTTTCTTTCTTAACTCTCATTTCATTTCTTTCTAATTTTTTGCTAGTTTTATTTGTTTCTTATTCATTTCTGTCCTTAAGTTTTACATTTCTGATTCAAGGGTGGTTTTTCATATCCCCAAATGCTTGTTTGAGAATAATGCTTGTTCGGTTTGGATTGTGTTACAGTTTTCTTTGAATTCATGTTTGTCAGTGGGGCAGCAGGGGGTGGGGAGGTGGGGACAATTTTTAGTCAGCAGAAAATATTTTATTCACATTTTCTTACATTTTGTAGCAGTTTTGTATGGCTGTGGTCTGCTTTTGTCTATTCCTGTACATTTCGTGAACAGGATTCTTAGTTTGAGAGCGCCCTCTTCCGGCGCAGTGTTGGAGTGGGAGGAGTAGAAGGAGGGTGGGTATATCTTGCTTATTTTTGTTTCTGCCGGGTCCTGTATTTTCCCCGCATTTCCTCCTTTCCCTTTATACCATGTCTCCAGTGGAGATCACCTCCTCTCTCCATATCTGAGTCTCCCCGGAAACACTGCTACATTTGGTCCCCCCACACTTTCAAGCCCTTAAGGCATAGCCAGGGCTATGGACTATCAAGTTCCAACCTGTGCTTAGTGCCTCAGCTTTTAGGGTTCACTTTCTGGGGTGAGTGTGTGCATCCTCTCAGCCCTCTGCTCCCCTCTGCTCCTTGTAAGCCTCTCCTCTCCCATTCTCCATAATACCCACAGGCTTACAGTGCTGGTAGGTAGACTGTGGGAGAAATTTTGGAAAAAACTTTTCCTCTGTTTATAGATAATTGGAAGGTTGTGGTATTCCCTTTCTTTTAGAGATGCTAAAGGTGTGGAGTCTGTGTGGTTTTATATATTTGTTCCCTTTATTGATTTTATGGTCATTTTCAGAAAATGAGGGGGAGATTTGGAATCAGGCCACCACCATTGTTTTCCAAACCCAGACGTCCCTTCTTGGCTTAATCTAAAATTATGAGCACTATTTGATATCAAAGAAGTTTTTCATTTTCTATTAATTTCCAATTTTCTGATTTGTGATTTTTGTTTTACTGATTTTTTACTTTTTACTAAGGAAATATTTTCTTCCATCATTTGACAATGTAACTTTATGAGAGAGACCTAAGAAAAGAAAAATCTTTGCTCCCAATTGGAGTTTTAATTATAATAATATTTGAGACTTCAAGAAGAAGAAATAATATGGTGATGCAGGTAGCAGCTGCACCCACTGCCTCCCGCAACCACATCAAAATGACAACTAAAATTCAGAACCACCATCACTCAGAGCCTCCTGACATCTGGCTGAACAGAAGCCCCACAACCAGGGAGGTGAAGGAGCATAGAGAGGGTAGGAGGGGCGGAGACGCAGAGACTCGGCCTCGGGCCCACACCCAGTGCCGCGGTTGAAACCCGGGAGGGAATCTCGGTGGTGGGGATTTCCCAGAGGGGTGAGAGGTCCCAGCCCCACAGCAGGCCCCCAGCCCAGGGCTCCAGGGCCGGGAAGAGACATCCCTACAACTCCGGGCTGTGAAACCAGCAGGGACTGTCCCTGAGGGTCGAGGAGGCCGCGGGAGCCCCAGCAGCTCCTCCTAAAGGGCCCGGCACGGACTCACTCGGAC